GTTACAAAAGTTAAACAACAATACAACAATGCAACTTTTACAATACAAAAAGGAAAACGCAGAGAGGAAATTCTTCTGAAACAATTTCGCATATATAGACAAGGAGAAAACTTTCCATTTACGTTTGAATAGTTGAATGATTTTACTTGATTGAATGTGAGTGAGGCGGTTGGGTGGGTGGGCGTTTGTTGTTGGGTTGTGTCGGCTGCCGCATGCGATATACTACATATATGTAGCTGAATGTCGACGGAAGGCTTTTGTAAATACATACAACATAATAAATAACAATAATGTGCTTAAGTGTACTTTAAATGCCCAAAAGTGCGCCACATTCAAGTTTTGACGGTCGACAGTCGGAGATGGACAAATCAAAATATGTATGTATGTAGTCCGCTTGTTGTAGTATCCTTTCTGGCTGTTGCTGGCGTCGTTGTTATTACAACACTGGTAATTGTTATTGTTGTCAATGTTGAGTGAGTGCTGCAACTGTTGTTGTTGTTGTTGTTGTTGCTGTCATTGTTGTTTTAATGTTATCACTATTTGCTGCTGCTGTCGAGCATTTATCGTCAAATCTTCAAAAATTTTTAAGCCATCTGCCTTTTATTATAGTTTTCGTCGCTAGTTTTTGTTGTTGTTGTTATTCTTCTTCTTGTTAGTTGTTGGTATTGGAATGAATATTTTTTTGTTTTGTTTTGTTTGTGTGGCTTTAGCTCTAAACTCGTCCTAAGTAATTTTAAGTGCCACAATTTGCTGCTCTGCTCATCACATGCTTTCATCAGCGCAGCACGGCACGGCACGGCTTCGGCTGACTGGCAACAAAACTCGTTTTGTTCGCTGTTGCTGTTGTTGTTGTTTGTATAACGCAAAGTGGATTTCCTGGCAACGATAAATATTTAAGCGCGCCGTAAGTTGAAAATGTCAGCATGGCTGGACAAATGTTGCCAGGTTACGCTACTCAATGCAGCTTGTTATCCTTGCTGGTGTTGGTTGTTACTTGTTGGCTTGTTGTTGCTATGTTGTTGAAACCCCAAAGTACTATGTCGTTACCAGTTACTTCTTTTTGTTGTAGCTCTTGTTGTTGTTTTTGTTGTCGCTGCTTTTAGAGCATCTGCTGCCGTCGCTACCTCGGCGGCTGTCGTCGACTATACATATTTATTGGCTTGGTTGCCTACAATTTGTTTCAACTGCCATTGTTTTTGCATTTTTATTATTTTAACTTTCTTGATATCCTCTGTTTTTTTTTGTTAAACTTCTTTGCTGCTACTTTCGCTTGTTTATTTGTTTTCTATGCTTTAACTTACTTTCAATTCTTATTAACTTTATATTTTATTTACTTTTATTGTAGAAGTAAAAATTTATTTGCCATTTTTCGCAATTTGTCTTTATTTTCTCTTTTTGCTTTCTTTCTTTTTTTTCGGTTTCTTTTTACTGTTTCCATTTTGCTTGCTTGCCACAATCTAATTCGCATTTTTTTTTTGTTTCTTTGCCGCCTTTGAGCATTTGTTTTGCAATTTTTTTATTCCATTTTTTTTATTCAAAAAAATTTTGAAGTTTTTTTGTTGATTTTTTATTGTTTTGGTTTTTCTTCCACATATTTTCTTGTATTTCATTTTCTCGTTTTTATACCATCACGCTCGAACTTTTGCTGCTGTTGTTGCTGTAGCCGCTTTTGCTGTTCGAGCGCAAAATTGTATTGGTTGCATTTGGAAAATGAGTTTTTCGCTGATGTTGCTGCTGTCGTGGCTGCTGTTGCAAGTGTCGTTTGCTGCCCTTGCATTTGTCATGGCCGATGGAACCTGCAAGCGAGAAGAGAAGGAAAAATAGCGGGGTTAAGTTGATGTTTTATTGACATAAGTTTGAAAATATGTTAAAGCAAGATATAAACTTCTAGAAAATTTAAGTTTTGCAAAAAGCACCGATGTCGAAGTTCAAAATGTTACAGGCGAAGTTATCAATATCTGAGCGCAAGTAGCGGTTAATTTGTGCGTCAGCTCGATGAAGAGGTGGTTTTACTGATANAGGGTTAAGTTGATGTTTTATTGACACAAGTTTGAAAATATGTTAAAGCAAGATATAAACTTCTAGAAATTTTAAGTTTTGCAAAAAGCACCGATGTACCGAAGTTCAAAATGTTACAGGCGAAGTTATCAATATCTGAGCACAAGTAGCGGTTAATTTGTGCGTCAGCTCGATGAAGAGGTGGTTTTACTGATAAAGGTGGCTCTATTTTCAAAATTGTGGAAGTATTTTTTGAAGGCTTTGGAAGTTGCAAAAATTTACTGTAATATACTGTTGAGTCACAAGGATGTGAATAATAAATCATTATCATACACTGCGTGGCAAAACTACAGAGCCAGCACAAAAATTATTCAACGAAATATTAAAGGAATAAATGAAAAAAAAA